CCTAATTATAATACTGCTTTTTAACCTGTGTTGTAATACTGCTTTTTAACCCTCATCATTACCGGTATACTGCTTAACGATTAATGTTATACGGCTGTTTAACCCTTATTGTAATACTGCTTTTAAAACATAATTGTTATACAGCTTTTTACCATTATTGTAATACTGCTTTTTAACCCTTTTTGTAATACTTTTAAAACCTTATTGTAATACAGCTTTTTACCATTATTGTAATACTGCTTTTTAACCCTTATTGTAATACTGCTTTTTAACCCCTTATTGTAATACTGCTTTTAAAACCTTATTGTAATACTGCTTTTTAACCCTTATTGTAATACTGCTTTTTAACCCCTTATTGTAATACTGCTTTTAAAACTTTATTGTAATACTGCTTTTAAAACCTTATTGTAATACTGCTTTTTAACCCTTATTGTAATACTGCTTTTTAACCCCTTATTGTAATACTGCTTTTTAACCCTTATTGTAATACTGCTTCTTAACCCTTACTGTAATAGTGCTATGTAAACATTGGTTCACATAAAAAAACTGCTTCACATACTTTCTTAAAAATTCTTCAGTGATAAAAACTACTTTCATATATATCTCACGGAATTATTAGTACAGCACAAATGATGTGATTGGCATCGCCATTCTTACCCCATGTTTTTAAGCAACACCTTCAGGGATTCCTAATGTCTCCAAACGTTTACAGGACAAGTGTGAATTGACTTTCATAATTCCCACAAATTACATTCATTTCACTAATGTCATGATGTAATTTTCACTTTGGTTCCTGTCAACCAACCATGAAGACGTTTCAGTGCCAGCATAAAAACGGGAGCAAAATTGTCTTTTTCTAAAAACTAATATTAACAGTAACTATAACCTTAAAACAATATTCATGTCAAGCTTGACATTCTGAATCGAGCATTAATTCTTATTCTTTGTTCAATGTTTATGAAATTAACTGTTCTTACTTCCTTTTCTTGAACACTATGTATTGACATTATTTTACACGGAAGCTAAGATCAATGGACCTAAGTGACAACAGCAACTTAACCCATCTGACTTTTAACACTAATCACATGACATTGGACAATAGGAATGTTAAACATGTGACAAAATAATGTTATTGCAATTATTAACAGATACATGATTAACAGAACTTATTCAACTTTTGTCCAATACATAATCATAGTTATCTTTAAAACATCCATGAAAATAAACCAAAGTATATCAGCTGACCTTTAATTTGTAAAGAAGAGAATATATGGATGTCAACTGTATATTCTCTTCCTTATGTGTATCACTTCTAAATGCCTTTCAAAGACCTTCAATTTGTAACTTAGAATAAATAATTTTTAGGTCAGATAAAACAAACACAAGATTAGGTCCTACTGCAAAGTGTTTTATGTTAAGAACATTTAATACTCCTGACATAAAACAGTTCTAATTCTCTTCCAAATAACAATTCTGAAATAAAACCCTGAACTTTTCACTAGTTTCCTATCTAACCTCTCACTATATCAGTTTTCTATATCCATCAGGGCTTTTTATCTACTGGAATGTCTCCTCTCTCAGGATGTCTGGCAAGAAAAGTTCCCAATCCATCCTGTTCTTGTATCGTTCTTGTTACCATCTTTGCGTCAATATACCTATGGATTAAACTCATGAACAAAATCTGCCCACTCTATCATTAATGCACCAGACAATTTTGTTTCCTTAGTGTCAGACTTTTAAAAACTAAGAATAAGCACAAAGAAAGGGCATTTATCTTTAAATAAATAATGACAGTTTTTTTCTTACTGAGAATCCACAAAGTATCTGAACCGTATAATGAACACAGAAAATCTTTCGGCCTTCATCAGAAATCTGTTGAAAGGTTTTCAGGTCATAAACCTTTCTTCATAAATATATGGCATTTTCTTTTCCCTATTTACAGAAATACTAATATTCTCAATTCATGTGAATATCTCAATCAACTAACTAATCAGATGGAACCAGTTCCTTTTGCTAGTAGTCAAAATGAATTTTTTTTTAAATCAATATTCAAAACCTGGGAAATTACTCCATTCAACATAATTGGCATTTTCCCCCTTTTTTGGTGTTTGATTATTTTTTACGATTTCTTTAGAGCAAGATTTATATATAGCTTTCCTTTAAATTGAAGCATGTAAGGTTCAATGTTACAGGTCGTAAAAACAAAAGTTCAATGAAATAAAGATGTTTTATAGCCACGCTAAGGTCCTCAGTAGATCCTCAGTATAGGAATAGCAGTTTTCACAGACTCACACAACTTCATAATGATTTTTTAATTGAAAATTCAAGCTTAAACTGAATACAATTATTTCCATGTTAATTCTACATTTAAATATATATATATTTGGTTTAAGTCAGGGAAGTGACACCCTGAGGTCACACACAGGTCAAACTGCACTTCCTCGTGTTGCAGAAAAACATTTAGAAGCGAAGCTGCAGCAACCACATAGGTCTGACCTTCCTACAAAAAAACCGACAGAACAATAATTCTGTCTTGCAATGCTCACAATTCATCACTGACAATATCTTATTTGCATTTTGATTAACTATCCTACCATGTTGTCATGTAAAACACACAGGACAAAGTATGATATAATTCCAGTGTTCATGATAGGAATTGCCAGCCTTGCATGTGTTAATATCCTAGATAAAACAAATAAATAATGTATTGACTATTCAAGCAGAAAAAAAATCTCACTACGATATTTAATCTCCAGTGATTTCCCTTTTAGGTCAGTGACCACAAAATCATGCGAGCAGAAACTGACAAGTCACTGAGCCACTAAAATTCAAGATGTAAGATAATCTTTCAAGAAAGAAAATTAACCCATAAATATTTCAGAGTGGACATTTTTAGAAATTTTAACAACGAATAAAACCAACTTTACACTCCTTTGAAACATGTCGAATCTTAAACCCAATTATGGTTATAGCTAACCATCAACAAAATGTTCAAAGCAGTAGAGACTGGTGGTGTAAAAAAACCTTATTAAGTGCATAACACTGATCAGTTAAATCACCTGTTATAGACTCTGCAGGTAGAAGACCAGATATAGCTGGGGTGACTAGACAAGTGCCTACATTGATGGCTGAATGCACCCTGCGGGCCAGCATGAAGTCATAAGTCACTGTTAAACTTGGGTGATTCATACAACCAAGGGACTGCCGGCCCCTACCGTAGTACCAACCTCGCGGAGGCAACTGGCCATTAACAGCTATTATAGTCAAGGGTGTGGCCAGTAACACTGCTGGCAGCATTAATTAATCCCTATGCTAATTGCTCTGGCTAATCCAATTTAAACTAATTACGTAGCCTTCACAGCTCGTTAATCAGTAATTCCAGATCCCAGTGGATCAGTACTTGATTGCATAATGTTATGTTCGCATATAGACTGTTGTGATAAACTGTTCACCACCTCCTGACTTAATCTGTTTATACTAATGTAGCGTTTGTAGTGTATGTTTAGCTCCAGGCTACTGCTGGGAGACAGGCTTACCACCAATACTTACTGTTAGTGCATACACATTTACTGAAATCTTTTGTGATTGTTTTTCACATGACTATTATAGTTAATATATTTTTCAAAAGTATTTTGCATATTTTTTTCAACTACATACAAATAGAAGTTAAATTATCACATCTTAACATCAAGCTAAAACCCAGTTACTAAAAGATCAGAAATTATCTAAAAGCAAAGACAATAAAATAAAAACTTTAAAAAATGAAATTGTCATTGATGACAGGATTGACAATATAGAACAGTTTCAAACTTTCCATAAAAATAATTCACCAAGAGAAACTGTTTTTAAGTATGACAAAAACACTGTTGACAAAACATGCAGATAGTAACAACACACTAGAATATTTTTTCAGGCAATTTCAACCATATCAAACTGTTGATTGCTTAACTGTTACACATTGTTGAAAGATATAAACAGTGTAAGAAAATAAATAGTACAAACAGGCAGTGAAAAATAACACCAAATACAACATTGTACAAATAAATGTCTAAAAGACAATACCTCTTCCGACTATGTAATCCCAGTGCTCAGTATCATAATAGACTTTCCATACAATAAAAGACACTTCTAGCGACCCAATAATAATGTCTCGTCCCTTCATTCTATCATATTTCTAACCACATACGTAACTTCTCTCCGCAAAGCGATTTTCATAAACAGTAAATGCTATACACCTCAGTTATATCAATATTCCTCTGTATTGTTCTAGCCCTGGAGTCGGCGCAACTTGATTGACGTACTGTATTGAAGTTGCTATCACGTGTTGTATCTCAGCGGAACCAACTGGATACATCAGATCACATACCCAAGTGCCGAGGAAGCAGAGTGAGAGAGACAGAGTGTTTCATGGATAATACCCTCGCGCCTGTCCTCCGTTTGGTCAAACATACATGTGCCTAACGTGTCCGTCAGACGAGACATCGGCTTTTACCCTGGGTACGTCTGAACTCACTGGTCATTCATTCAGTTAGAATGCTTTTGCTACTGTGACATTGCGACAATTCACGTGTCATTCTCTTTTTAACTTCCCTATCCTTTTCTAATACGCTAGATTTGCCGAATGTCATAACTATACAACGCATCCATTACGTCATACACTTGGTTCGCCTCAGAGCTTCAATGTCAAAATCCTGGTAGACCCTACGATAAATTTAGCGCCAAAGCGTTGGCTATTCCAATCTGCGACCCTGTTAATGACCGGTAGAAAATAATGGTTAAGTTGATAGAATTTGTTTAAGAAGTTTACCAACTTTCGTAATATATGTGTTACCCCTCCCCTATGGTGCAACATGATCGGCTCGACAAAGGCCTAAAGAGAGTATATGGTCGGCCGTGGACCCCTGACCAGTGACTGGGCCGCTGACGCTAGGAGCGATCGGGGGGTGACAGCTCTCAAATCGGGTGAAATCAATGAAATAAAAGAGTGACATGAAACTCACATGAGTCCGTGGCTTTCCGCTGCTGTGGTCGGCCCTGTTTTCGCCGTGACATGGCCTCAACATTAAAATCGTGAACTTGTCGCTTTACATCTGGACAAAGAGTATCAACAAAGATGGCGGCCTTTCCAGCTGAATCATGGGTAACAATTTCCCGCACCTGCCGTATTTCTCCCTGTCTAGCTTCTTCCTTCTGTCCTTCCGTCAAGTCGCGAGCCGTCTACTCGGCTACCGGAGTGGGTTCATCTAAGGTGACCCAAGCTTATTGGGTGGGAGGGGCTTGCTGACCGCTGTCCTGAGTCCTATAAATAACTCCCGTTGAGCCACGGTATATTGACCGCTGCCACTATATCGGAGTGCTTGGCGACACGGCTAGCTGTTAGCGAAGACTGGTCATTCTAGGAATTGTGTCACTCAGCACATGTGTAACAGTAAATGTTTGGCCAATGTCCGCGCTGAAACATGTGGATCACTCAAATACTAAGGGCGACTCCACTTCGGCTGGTGTAACTTCTATCTCCGAAGTCTAGCCCCGTTGACTTGGCGAGCTGCTATACACTGATAGTAAAAAACTAAACGCGCCAGCTAAGAGCCGTCTGCTGCTGAACGCCCCGAAAGGCTCGTGGTCAAGTGATGCGTGGTGGCCCCAATGTGTGTTGCAGTTGGCTGACCCCGCCGACCGGCCCAGTCCATTTCCTGTAGGGGTGAAAGGTTTTACTATAGCGTATGGACATTAGCTCATGATCGCGCGTACGTAACAGTTGTCTGCTGAAACCAAGGCCGGGAAGGGTTCGCGAAGGCGGATATAAGATGATCTCCTCGTGTCTAAACGGGAAACTTATTTTCTCTATTTATCACACGTGCTTTCATTAAATATATACGTATATATATACGTATAGGTATCCATGGCCAATGACAATATCTGTGAGGGAAACATGTGTATGTATACTGTGTATTCTATTGAATGGACAGTCCTATTATCTTGTCTTATCGAGCTCTGCCCTGTGGGCGCATGTAATCGATACACGCTCAGGCTCGGGGACTGACCAGCGCGAGCAAGCTCGTGTCCTTAGCTCGGACCACTGACCCCGCGCGCGTAATGTATGCCGAAGTATTGACCTAACTATATAGGGCACTAGTGCGGCCCGAGACAGGCCGGCCCGTTGTCTGACAGAGGTGCTCGCTGGCAGGCTGGCTGGCTGTCCGTCTCTCGCTATGGTCCTGCCGACTGCTGTGGTAGGGCCATGGCCGTACACTGATATTGCGGGGCGGAGCTGACTCGATTCTGGCGGGCACCGCTCAATTCACAGTTTTCTGTGTGTTGACTAGCAAGACGATTAAATGGTAACTGTTGCTTTCGTTCGTTAAATAGATTTCAGTTGCTGAGCGAAAGTTTAAATACCGTGTCACGTCGCGCGATTTGTTAGAAACTGCACTGTGCATATCGTCGTCATTGGTTGCTAGCACTGACGGAGGATCGACCGAGCCAAAGGAAGGATTTTACTGCAGTTTTGTAGATTCCAGTATTCAATAGAACGAGAAGGACGCAAAAGATTGGCAGTTCTTTACTTTCTGACATTCTAGGGTTCTTTGTATGCATATGTCAAACAATTTTCGTGTTTGTAATGGTTACCAACACATACACCCTATAATAATAATTTCAATCCACAGACACGGCCAAAGAGTGTGTTCTCTTTAAATCCAGGGTAGATATGAATTGTTTGTTGTATAATTTTTGGAATGGATCTGTAATTCCTTGATGAAGGTCGAACTCGCATGGTGATAGTCTTGTTTCGCACAAGAAGCCCTTCGCGTTCACCATGTAATTCTTTGGTTGATAAAGGCCATGCTACCACTGAGTATGAAATATGCAAAAAGCTGACGTAAAGGCTGTTTGACTTGGCAGATGCTATGGCTTCAGGACAGCGCTTCCCATGCCGACTTCAAAGTTAAATAAGATGTCAATTGCTTTGAAGAACAGGTGCGAGGGACACTTGTCGCCTCACTTCCCCGTGAGATTATCGAAACACCAAAAAACAGATACAGTTATAGGTCATCGCGAATGTGTTACTTTTACGTCATAGATTTTCAATTTCATATTGCCAGTGACGTCACAGAATCCGCCAGTGTTTTTGACATTGATCTCACAAAATATCTTTTCGTCAAAGGTACTAATTACTGTCCTGAAGAAAAGGACACCGATTATGAAGTTAATTTTCAAATAATTAATACGCTATTAACACCGGTGAACTAGAACACATTTAGAATTAGGCATAATATATAATAACGTTAACTAAATATTGATTATTCGCAAACATAAGACTATTGAGGATCGGATGGTTACAATGTGTGACGTAGCTGATTGCCCGGCGCTGCGTGGATCATTGTTACTGGTGTACCTATTGCCCAGATTTGATTATTGCAGTTTGCCGTTACAAATAGCTAGCTAAGGAACAAAACATTGACATCTTGTGACATACATAGCCTGCAAAGAATCATACTAAGTAACCATATATACATAAACTGCCAGACAAAAAAAATAAACACTTGAAGATTGGATTCGATCAAACATTACAAACGTTATCAAAACGTTACTGGGCTGAAAACAGTCGCCGAAGCACTGCAAAGTTAAGGTCTAAAACACTAGGATACCCGAAAAAATACATCACCATCGAATAACCATTTCTTTTTCTCATTTTTGCCTCCATTAAACATGGGTGTATACTTTCTTTTGCCCAGCAGTTAATTAAATTGTGTTACTATGTACCTTTAGAGTATTACAATAGCGTTTGTTTTGTTTTTTGTTTGTTTTTTTGCTTAACGCCGCTCTCAGCAATATTCCAGCTATGTGACGGCGGTCTGTAAAAAAAAATCGAGTTTGGACCAGTCAATCCAGTTATTAATATCATGAGCATATATTCACGCAATTTGGATGCGATGACAAGCATCAACCAAGTCAGCGAACCTGACCACCCGATCCCGTAAGTCGCCTCTTTCCACAAGCATGGGTTGCTGAAGATCGATTCTAACCCGAATCTTCACAGGAAACATACACTACTGTGTAAGAAACACTTTATGTGACTGTGTTAACACATAGAAACATACACTAAGTATGTACCCCGTCCATCCGTTCGTCCATCTGTTTGTCAGCCCGTCCGTCCGCCCGTCCGTCCGCCCGTCCGTCCGCCTCCACACATATTGCATATCATACACGGCGGATTACATTCATCACTTCTATTTCAAATAGTCGTTTAAAATTTTCTTTCGATTTCCTAAACAAGTATGGCAGATATTCTTTGCCTGAAAAGCAAATAAATTATTGCAACAGTTATATATCTAGACTGCCGATAGTGTAATGAATACCGAGCTCGCTGCACAATGGTCATGCCGGTATTCCAAAATGTTTCCTTTCTAAAATGACATTGGAATACATTGTCCGTTTGGATAAAATTGAAATATGATATGTGCACATAGTTTGTCTACATAAATATATTAATAATTAATAAATTATCTTCTTACTTGTTCTTGCTATTGTCATCGCCAAATTATTCATACCTGACAGGGTACCGCTACCTTATTTGATAGCAAACGATCAATTTTAAATGACCATCATTTATGTACCTAAATGTCTGCCATAGTCATACTGTTTGTATTCAAATTGTGTAGTTTCTTCCTAAACTAAAATCGACGACGAGAGTTGCTCCAAGTGTGGCAATGTACACTACCATGATCTGGTACATGTACCATGATCTTAATTATTCATCAAATGTCGGTGATGCAGAACCTGCTCACTACGTCTTCTGCCGCCTGGGACTACTTTATGTCACATATGACGCTGATCATGCCTTCTGTTAAAAATGGGAATTGTCATTTTTCACAACCTTGATGGAATGGGTTTCTTTGTGACTAGACCTTCTTGGAAATTAACACGAATGGAATTTGTTCTGGATATATCATGCAGTATGGTATTATTTGATTTTTTTTTTTTTTTTTCAAATTATGACATAGAATGAAGTAATTTGAGTAATCGCGAGTTCTAAGTCTATTTACAAAAGATGCTCGATGTCTAACTTTGTCATTTAATTCACTTTGTCCAAACTGATGGAAACTGCTTTAGATTTGACTTTATTGGATACATAGAAATCGCAGAAAACATAGACTTTGGAAATTGGGTATTGCACCAGGTTACTCCCCCTTTTGTACCCAATTATGGCGCTGGTATTAAAGGGAAACAAATTTGTTTCAAGTGTTTGAAAACTGTCTTTGTTTGTCTGGAAGCCAGGTTGTATGATTTAGATCAATATTAAAGTTGCTGATTTCTCGGTTCACACATGGCTCCAGTTTCAACACGATGGAAAAGTATTCATTAACCCAGTCGCCCAGCCCTGGTACCTCCTCAATATACACCATGCTTTCAGTGCAGTAGATCCGTCTGTACCGTTCATATCACGTGACTGTGTCATGCCATATCAAGTGATGGTGGTATGTCATGTGATGTGATGTGATGTGTCATGTAATGTGTATCAAGTGATGTGGTGTATCATGTGATGTGGTATGTTATGTGGTGTGTCATGTGGTGTGTCATGTGATGGTGGTGTATCATGTGGTGTAGTGTGTCATGTGATGTGATGTGGTGTGTCATGTGGTGTGTCATGTGATGGTGGTGTATCATATGATGTGATGTGGTGTGTCATGTGATGTGGTGTATCATGTGATGAGATGTGTGTCATGTGATATGGTTTGTCATGTGGTGTGGTGTGTCATGTGATGTAGTGTGTCATGTGATGTGGTGTATCATATGATGTGATGTGGTGTGTCATGTGATGTGGTGTATCATGTGATGTGATGGGGTGTGTGTTATCTGATGTGTATCAAGTGATGTGATGTGGTGTGTCACGGGATGTGCTGTGGTGTGACATGTGATGTGGTGTGTCATGTGGTGTGGTGTGTCATGTGATGTGGTGTGTCATGTGATGTGGTATGTCATGTGATGAGGTGTGGTGTGTCATGTGATGTGGTTTGTCATGTGATGTGGTATGTCATGTGATGAGGTGTGGTGTGTCATGTGATGTGATGTTGTGTGTCATGTGACATGTATCAAGTGATGTTGTGTGTAATGTGATGTGGTGTGTCATGTGGTGTCGTGTGTCATGTGATGTGGTGTGTCATGTGATGTGGTGTATCATGTCATGTGATGTTGTGTGTCATGTGATGTGATGTGGTGTGTCATGTGATGTGATGTGGTGTGTCATATGATGTGTATCAAGTGATGTGGTGTATCATGTGATGTGTATCAAGTGATGTGATGTGTGTCATGTGATGAGGTGTGGTGTGTCATGTCATGTCGTCTCATACCGGTGTTGTCATGCCACCGTGTTATGTGGTGTGTTATGCCATGTCACGTGGTGGGCGGGTGTTATATAATGTGTTTTTTGTTTTTTTGTCATATGTATACGATATATAGTGCACCCAAAGACACATAGAATGTATATCACAATGTAGAAATTCGTTATGAGCAAAGGTTTTCGTTCGCATGTAGATTTAGACTTCCCATGACTGTCACAAAAAGAGGACCCATAAGTACCTCACATTTTCAACACAAATATATCAACGAAAATATATATCTGTGACTCGCAATGATAAACAAGTTACATGTGTCTTTATCGGGTGTTGCGGAATTGTCCGAGCTGAGGTGTTGTCTACACGCCCCAACTCGTAAACTCCGAATACATTACTATACACGTCTTTGTTTGCTTTTTAACGCAGCACTCAGCAATATTCCAGTTATACGA